AATTTTTTTTCTCTGAATATTAAACATAAAAATTCTCAAGAAACAAATTTATATATTAAAACATCTTTTTGTTTCTATGATTATTTTACAATTCTCAGAGAAGTGTAAACTTCATTATTTTACATTTACAATTCCATTGATATATCAAACTTATATAAACAGTTTAAAAGACTTTATGTTATTCAATTACAAAGTTACGATCATATATACATTTTTTTCATTAATTAAAAATAACACTTATTATTTTATGTATTTATTTAATTTTTTTGTATGTCATCTGTTTAGATATCAACAAAAAACATATTATTTTCTCAATAATTCTACTAGAGCACATTTTTGAAAAAAGAAACATTATTTTTCTACCACATACATTTGATAACAATAGGACTTTCTTCTACATACTCACACAAAACCGAATGTAAGTAGCTTCAGTAAGCCTAAATGTTTTCTAAAATTTGTAACTCCCCTCTTGTATTAAAGAAGCATCCACAATTAAGAATTATTGATTTCTCTTTGTTTCACAGTGTTCGCCAACTTTTTAAATAATAAACCACATTTTATATTTTAGGATCATCACAATAAGATAATAGTTTCTAATAATTAATAATTATATACTCTACTAAAAGACACAATTTTTATACAATTTTCTTTAAAATAAGAAAATATGAAAAGGTATTTTTTACAGAAGCAATACTTGAACGTTTTTATTTAACATACAATATATATATTTAAAAATACATGCAAATGTATAAATTTTCATGAGAAGCAAAACATGTTTTCATACATCTGTCTTTTCCTCATCTGATTGCTTTTCATTCATCACAAACGAATTTGCAAGAATTCCACGAACTCCCAAGCCCTTTACTGCGAACACGGAGCCAGCGTAGGGAGTTTTCTTTCGCTGTTCGGCAGTTAAATTATGGCCCGCGGTAGTCACATACAGAATATCGAGAAGCGGACCACCAAAGGCGACACTAGTTACATTTTCAGCTGGAATCTTAACTTTTTTCAACAATTTTTGTGTTTTTGGATTCACGTGGATGACCTAGATAAAACATTTTCGTAGTTACTACATTTTAATATAATCTTCAGTAAATATTTCATACATTGCATATATGTATTTGATTAGTTGCCAAATTTATGTATATATTTTTCAGATCTCCGATAGAACATTTAATGATTGTTGAACAACAACAACTTTATCACATATAATATCATTTTCAAAAAGTGATAATAATTATCCTTTTTTGTGAAAAAATTTACTGTTTAGAGCTATGTATTAATATCACAGATAACAAGTCTTTCGTTGCACTTTAAATCCATAACCATATATATATACTTACATGGTGTCCCCCATACACTGCTATCCAAAGATTGCCATCTGTATCTATGGTCATTCCGTCAGGAACGCCTTCTATATTAATCTTATTCAAGTCAAATACAATCCTCTTATTAGCTAAAAATATAGAAACTGTAAGTACATACATAATTCTTGAAAAAAATTTCTCTTTTGAATATATATATATATTTAATACTTTAATATTTTTCATAATTATTTCAATTTTCGGTTACATAATTTAATTTGTGTCAAACATTTTTGTAATATAATTTATATTTGTACACTTTTCTATAATGTAATTTTAATTGGAAAATGTTATCAAGTCTTACAGATTGTCCCATTATTTGGATCATAATCGTATGCTGCAATCTGACGTGTAGGTGAATCAATATAATAGAAAGTATTGTCGTCGATATTCCATGCTAATCCGTTACTTATTGTAACAGGAGTTATTTCCTTTTTAGGTTTTAACGTATCGTTAATGAGATATAATGATCCCTGATTAGAAGTTACATCTCCATTAAGTTTTTCATTTCCCATGGTACCTATTGGTAATATAATTGATACATAGCGAATAATTACCACATAAAAAGAAATACATTTCTATTCATAATATATATATTTTCAATTTACCAATCCAGAATCTTCCAGATGAATCTACTTTTCCATCATTGACTCTTGTATCACTAAAAGAAGATTCAATAGAAGTCAATACTTTAAATGGCACCTTCTTTGAATCTTCACTTCCTTCCCAGGTGACAAGAATAAGATCTTTTCCAGAACCTGCTACGAGTTTATCAGACGTATCATCCACAGGTACAACAACACCAACAGGACCATGTTCTGAAGAAGTATTATTTAAGAAATCATACTATTATCTGATGTATAATAAATACAGTGAATTAGGTAATAGTGATATAAAAAAAAGTTCAATCTTACCTACATAGGCACTGGTTACAACACCTGTCGCAGTGTCCAGTCTACGTATGTACTGGTTAGATATATCAACAAAATACAACTTTTGAATCCGATGATCCCAATGAGGACCTTCAGAAAGGCCAAAAGGTTCCGTCACTTTCTCTACTCTCAGACGAGCTTCCCTATAAATAAATAATAATACATCGCATTCTATATCATGTCAAGCTTAAAAACTAATTATTTGCAGGAGATTTTATTCTTTATGTAATATGATATTTATGATTTTCATTTATTATCTCATCATCTTTTCTTTCTTAACTTCAATTAGCAATTTAATTTTGTAATATTCTCAATCATTTGAGTCAATGAAAATGTCTATTGTATAACATTAATATAAACGAAAGATTGTAGAGTGATTTTGATTGACATAACGCACATTAAATTTTTATAATACAAGCAAAATATATAAGAAAATAAAACAGGCGAGACTTGTTTTTTTTAATTGCATTTGCATCTGCATTGCTAAGAAATATACATTTAAAAAAAAAAGAGAAAAAGAAGAGGAAATGAAGAAAAATGCGCAGTTTTGAAAAAAATTAATCTGTGCCTATATTTCGTGCCGCAAGCACTTTTTACACTTTTCTACACTTTTATTTTCTCTTTCGCTTCTTTCTTATCGCGGAAAAAAGATGTAGAAAGCGCGCGAGTTACGTAAAAAATTGTTTACGTTGTCATTATGTGAGTCCCGTTTGAGAAACCGGTTGCGAAAGGAATCGAAAATCAAATTGTCGGTGAAAAAGCGACGAGCCGCAATTGGATGCGGACGAGCGAGTGTTTAGAATGACGAACAGCTGACGAATTATTTTAACTCGCGAGCAGTGCTAGACGGGGATAATTGCTCCGATTGCTCAAACAAAGTGTCGATTACTCCGATGATGACGGTACTGCGTACCAGAAAACACGGACACGGCTGTTTAATAAACGCTGATAAAGCTGTATGTACGATAAAACTGATATATATATATATATTATTTCAAATCGAAAGGTTATTGATAATCATATGCTTCGCGTTACATCACATTTCAAAGCTTCGTAAAAATACATTTATAAATAGCAGCAGTATACATTGTATATGCATCACAACATTTAAAAAAATTGTGAGAATTTCGTAATGCAAAATATTTTCCAAAGTTGAAAATCTTAGGAAAATAAATGAAGATATCGCTTAAAAATCGTATGTAATATACATATTAATACAATAATAATACTGTTAGTATAATTTAATTCTGTTTTTTTTTTTTTAATGGAATAGTATTTAAAAAATACAATAACATAATACTCTTTTTTTACATCAGATACAAAATATTTTAAGATGTTTCTTGCAATAATATATAGCAGTGACATTAAAAATATTAAATTTATAAATTACAGGATACAGATATATTATATAGAATATATGGACGTCATATATTATGCCTAGCAGATATAGCGAGATGTTAACATTTCTGATATGGAATATTGGGTATAAATAGCGGTGCTTCTGCAGGCAAAAGAAATAGGAAGCGGAAAAGAAAATGTGCAAAAAGAGATTATCTGTATCATCTCCTCTCTATTTGTCTGTTTCTATCAGATAAAAACAAAACTCGTAAAAATCATTCGAGGAAAATTACGAGCTTTCAAAGAGATTTTTCCAATATCAAGTAATGATTTGCGGATAATTGTCGCGGTGATATAGATTTTTGCAAAATTTATTTATTAAATTTATGATATGATAGCAATATAAATATTTTTTGATAATGTTTATCAAACACATATTGTTGTTAATAAGTTATAATTCAAGCAATTTGATTCAATCGACCTTTATAATCAAAGTTCAACTGATTATCGGCCCATCTTCCTTTTTCTCTCTAATTATCAGTTAAAAAAATAACAGATAACAGATTAACAGTTAAAAGATATAACAATTAAATTTTAGTTATCTATATTTATCTTATCGTAATTAATCTTCTGGAAATATTTTTGTCTATAACTAGTAATCTAGTAAACAATCTATAAACAGTAGTTTATACTTTGATAAGTAATTTTCTTTCAAACTTAGTTTTTCTTACAACTCATTTTTATCAGATAATTTTTGGATTTTGTTACTACACATACATACACACACAAACGTACACCACGACGCTATTGTATTATTTCTAGCGTTTAATCAAAAAATTTAAATATTTGCTTATACAAATTTGTTTCTGTTTTTCAATATTTTGTTATATTAGATGAAATAATTTAGTTTTGTTACATTAGATGAAATATTACTTTATATACGCGGCGCGTTATGTTGCGTGAGTCGACTTTTTTTATTAAAAATGCGTACGCGATGCATCGATTTATAGGAGCCATGTCCTTTCACTTACCCGCTATGAATGAGAACGACGAGAACGCACGTCAAGGACACGTATTTACAAATTGCACTTCTCATGATGTTCTATATATCTTATCGTACTGTTTAACTCAAAAGTATAATTCTCTCTCTTTCAGGATAAACTAAAAAGAGCGAGTTATACTTAAACGCACCGGCTTATATATATGGACATTCCCACCTTCACTGATTTGATCGAAACCTGCGAGGGGAGTTTCACTCTTTAACGACGAATACATTTTGGCGTTAGATAGTATCGTTTGACGTAAATTTATTGACATAAATTACTTTATCTCGCTTTTCTGACAATAATTCGCGAAACTAAATTGCGTGAATCGCGTAATTTAATGGCGCATGAAAATATAAAATAGTTTTTGACGCGATCGATATTACTTAAGATAATAATCTTTGATAAGAAAAGGTTACAGAGTAATCGGCTATGATGATTTATCGTAACATAAAAATATATATTACTCAATCTTCTGTCATTAATTGGAGGAAAAAATACTTTTGGAGAGAATGTTTATTTACTCTGTGTATATAGGCAATATATGATTTACAGTCGTACATGTTTTTCTTTATTCATATTTATAAATTGTTTTTACGTAGCGAACGATAACGGGATAAAATATATCTAAACGCATTCGTAAATATTATCGAATTACATGATGAAATATAAAATGCATTGTTTGTTTATAGATTTAGACAGGATAATATTAGATATTATCTCCAAAAAGGTTTAATTTTTGTCTAAGTATATTGCAATCTTATAAAATACATATATTGTAAAAAAAATCTCTATAAAATGTGGGAAAAGATAAATAAATCAAGAATAAATTTTGACGAAATTTAAAATTTTACACGATTTGTAAAGGATTATATAAAATATCAATAATATATTAATATAGGCAAGGATTATATAAAATATCAATAATATAATAATATAGGCAACAATATATTAATGCCGAAACAGTATTAATGTACATTCATATTAATGTACATTATTCATAAAAATATACAATTGTACGATCATATACAAATGCACAAACATTAAATTATACATACATTCGTGTAGATAAATAGAAGTAAGATAATGAAAGTGACAAATTAATCTATTGCAGTAAGTCATTAGTTCAATAGGTTTTTTGCATAAAATATGAATCCTTGACCGATATGTACGGATATTCAATCATGCGAACACTAGGAAGAAAGCAAAATTACGTAATTTTTACTGTGCAATAGTTTCGATAATACGCAAATTATTCTTATTTATTACTAACAACATTTATATTTCGTAGATAAGATTGCAATATCTAAAAACTAGTGCCTACACTAGTTTCTTAAAAATTTCAAAATGTTTAAATCATTTCTTAGTTTATTTTATTCATAATATTGCGATATTTCTAGAAATGCAGTACAAAAGCCCCAAATCTGGTGTGAAAATATTTTAATTCATGGCAATAACAATTTTAATGATATTTATATTTTAAGCACCTTTATGTATAAGTGAAATAGCGACATTTAAGTAAATAACTAGGCAAATGTTTACAACAGAGTTTAAGTTACGAGAGAGTTAAAAAAATATATAAATATAGGATAAATTTTTTATACATTCAAGAAAATCAGATTTTTAAAACATAAGATTTATATGTTTCTCAAAGGTGTATTCATATAGTTTGTTTTTATATTCAAGATCGTCTTTTAAATGATCTTAAGCTTTCATTTAATGAATGATATAGCATTTTAAGATAATCTTGAATATAAAAACGGAATATATGAATACGGATCTAAATGAAGATGGACCTCATCTTAATCACAAGCACAGCCTTTATATCTATAGCTAAATTTGGCGTTAAACATATAGCTTCAATTTTTCAACGCCTACCGGTATGCAACCCATCATATGTTGCTGCAAAATTGCGGCGATATCAGAGTGAAGTCGCGACTTTGACAATTGCAAACTCGTGTCAGTCGCGTCGATAGATGGACTTTCTTTTACACAAATCAAATGTAATATCAATAAAATATCAGTCTCAAATGTAATAAGATCTAATATGGCTCCGTTTGATCGATTATCTAAAAGTTATTTAGAAAATTTTGAACAATATATTATAGTTAAAAAAGAGTGAAGTAAAGAAAGAAGAACGTCTGATGTATGTAAATACAATTATATGAAGGCAGTCAAGTAATTTATATAAGTTAATACAATTTGAAATATATAATTTATATAATTTAGTATAATTTAAAACATTATGGCGTTTATTACACATCTCATTGCTATATTTGCCGCCGCTATGTCGCGCATGCGCGAAAAAGGAAGCCCATCTGTCATTCTTCTGACGTCAATTGCGCACAGCTGACGCGCGTGGCAGACTGCGCCATCTGACATCGACGATGACAGGCGCGTGGGACGAACGAGTGGAAACGTGCCGGCCAACATCATCAGGTCACGTGACACTGGCATATTGATACGTGTCGGCGTGGTGAGCCACGACTCTGCTACGCTTTGCCAGTCGAGCGTATACGCGGCCACATTTTCGTTCGTTTTATGACAGAGAAGGAGAGAGAGAAAGAGGGTATTCTCGTGGCTGTGTGATTCTCGTGATCCTGTGAGGGACGGTCATTCGATACGTAGTGCTAGTCGCTTCAACGTCAAGACAAGATGGGATGTGAGTAAATTCATCGTTTATCAGTCAAAAATATCTTCGCGTACTTTGCGTTTGCCGCAACCTCTCGCTCGTACGCGCGTAACCTCTCTCGCATCATATAACATATTGTTGGCGAAATTGCTCGACGTACGTGCGTTTCCGTCTGTAGTTATCTAAGTCGTCTTTTCTCTTTCTGCTTTCAGTCAAGTTTCTCGAGGTGATAAAACCGTTCTGCAGTATACTGCCGGAAATAGCGAAGCCACAACGAAAGGTAAGGCCGCGCGATCTATTTCTGTCTCTCTCTCGTATTTACAGTTTCATGTACCGTTTTTCCTAAATTCCTCGATTACCTGGTGTGTATGAAGTCTAAGATCGGACCAAATACCCTCTACCATCTGTTTATGACGCACGTCTATGACATTATAATACATAATACATAAAGTTATTCCTGATTTAATAAGAAAGAAAACCTTTCTCTGATATAAGCTCATTACAATTATCATTTTCCCACAGATCCAATTTAGGGAAAAAGTATTATGGACGGCGATCACATTGTTTATCTTTCTAGTATGTTGCCAGGTAAATTGATAAATCAAGTTATTGAAAGTTAATTTAAAGTTTTATAAATAAATGCTGCTATACATAATCTTGTTATTTTCAGATTCCATTATTTGGTATCATGTCTTCAGACAGTGCGGATCCATTTTATTGGATCCGTGTGATACTTGCGTCGAACAGAGGAACATTGATGGAATTGGGTATCTCGCCAATCGTTACCTCGGGTCTTATTATGCAACTGCTACATGGTGCAAAGATCATCGAAGTCGGTGATACACCAAAAGATAGGGCGTTATTCAACGGTGCACAGAAATGTAAGTATATTAGTTAAGTTTACTAAATTACTTTATTATTATTAAATTTAAATGTTAAAGTCATAAATATTATTTGTCTTTTTTTTTTACAGTGTTCGGCATGGTTATTACTGTTGGTCAAGCTATTGTTTATGTAATGACTGGAATGTATGGAGATCCAACTGAGATTGGAGCTGGAGTTTGTCTTTTGATTATTATCCAATTGTTTGTCGCTGGACTTATTGTATTATTATTGGATGAGCTTCTTCAGAAAGGATATGGATTAGGAAGCGGAATATCTCTTTTCATTGCTACTAATATTTGCGAGACTATTGTTTGGAAAGCATTCTCACCAGCAACAGTTAACACTGGTATGTTTTTATTCATTATCAAAAAAAGATCATATAATATATAGAAATATTGCTCTTGAAATATTTAAACTTTAATATACTATTTATTATATTAATAATAACTGATTAAAGTTATATATATATATATATTTTTTTTTTTCGCCACATACTTCCTGCTCCTGCCCCTCTCCCTCCCCCTCTTTATCTTTCCTTAACTTTTGTGATATGTAACTGTATCGAGAGCAAGGAGCTGCGTTTTTTCTTTTGCTATAATACATAAGCGAGAAAATAACCGACAACAAAGAGTGTGTGTGCGTGTGTGTGTGTGTGGTGCATTGCGCGGGTGCAATTATCGTTGAACTAAATATTTTTGTGTCGGATATATATATTTTTTTTTTTATATTTAATAGGTCGTGGTACGGAATTTGAAGGAGCTGTAATCGCTTTGTTCCACTTGCTGGCCACCAGACAAGACAAAGTCCGTGCTCTCCGAGAAGCATTTTATAGACAGAATCTTCCAAATCTGATGAACCTTCTCGCCACTATTCTAGTGTTTGCTATCGTTATTTACTTCCAAGTAAGTTGAAGAACATTGATATAATCTAATGAATGTTGTATTGTGCATGAATAGCTAAACTCGAAATTAAACCTATAATTTTTTGCTTATTAGATCGATTACTTTTATCATTAAACTATTCAAGGCATGTGCACCAATTTCTGATGTTTGGTTGCACATGTTTTATTGTGATGATTATATTCAATATTATATTTTAATCAAATCTGCCAGATATCGCGGTCAATACAGCAGCTATCCAATCAAACTATTTTACACCAGTAATATCCCGATCATCTTGCAATCAGCCTTGGTGTCCAATCTATACGTCATCTCTCAGATGTTAGCTGTTAAGTTCCAAGGAAATCTTATAGTAAATCTGTTGGGCGTTTGGTCGGATGTCGGTGGCGGTGGTCCCGCCAGATCGTATCCAGTCGGCGGATTATGTTATTACTTATCACCACCGGAATCAGTCGGCCACATCGTTCAAGATCCCGTTCATGCCGTACTCTATATTCTCTTCATGCTTGGCTCGTGCGCCTTCTTCTCCAAGACGTGGATCGAAGTTTCTGGAAGCTCGGCGAAGGATGTCAGTACAAATTTTTCACTAAAGGACAATATAAATCTTTTCGACATATTGTAAAAATCAATAATACTTATCGTTATCACTTACAGGTTGCTAAACAATTGAGAGAACAGCAGATGGTAATGCGAGGCCACAGAGACAATTCCATGATTCGCGAACTGAATCGGTATATTCCAACCGCCGCAGCATTTGGCGGATTGTGCATTGGAGCTCTCTCTGTGCTTGCGGATTTTCTGGGCGCGATTGGTTCCGGTACCGGTATCTTGCTCGCTGTCACCATTATATATCAATACTTCGAGATTTTTGTTAAGGAGCAAAGTGAAATGGGTGGCATGAGCACGTTACTTTTCTAAACTTAGTTCAACTATAGATTTGAAAAGTAAACTTTTTTTAATTCTGAAGAACTACATAATTTATTGTAAGATAAGAGAGTTTTGGTCGAATTGGCAGTTTTGTGTATATGTATGTGTGTGTGAAAGTGCATGTGTATATGTGTGTGTGTATGTCAAGCTCATGGATGTAGACATACTAACGCCAATCGAATTTCCCTCCCCCTTTTCGCCCGCGTTATAGATAAAGTCGCACATATTTAACTTACGATTGTATATTGTTGATTCTATGCTCAAAAGATTATAACGTGTCAGTGACTTTTCAAAAAGAAAAGAAAGTTACATGTACTTCTTTTGTAGGATATATTAATGTGATTATTGAGACACACGATATATTTTCGGATCTATCCAGAAAATAATACAACTATTTTATGTTACATTTATGAGATCTTGGTTTATGCATTATGAGACTGTACTCTTTATTTTTACATTAAACATTAATAATGCTACGCAAACTGTACACAAACCATTAGCCTGTTAAAGGCAAGAACATATTGACAGAGTGTAGAGAATAAGAACTCAGACATACAACAGTTAAAATGCTCGCAAAATACAAACGCGGAAGATATCTCGCAAGATATGACGCGATCAATAATATCTTTCGTACAATAAGCAGTATGTACATAGTAAGAAAATAATTGAATATTTCCAACATTTTTTACTAGCGTTTTTTGGGCTCTGCAACATGACAAAGAGCCGCGTGAAGACTCAATCGCATATATATATGAGTAAAATCGTGACGTTTATATTAATTGAACCAATATATGATTATGAATATAGTCATTTCAGTCAGGACGAGACACCCACCTAGGGTATTCGTACAGCAATTCGAACAGCGTTCGTTCATCTTGGGTACCATTCATTCCTGTATCGATAATAATACGAAGTAAGTTAATATTTGTTTTTCGTATATATATACATATATGTATTTAGGAGAAAAGAAGAGAATATGCTTTTATAAATATTAAAAACATATCTTTTTTTTTTCGTCTTCCTCGTTTCATCCCTCCTCAAACATTTTATCGCGTTTTGTCGACTATGTTACGCGTGATATCTCATTTTGTCATTCATTTAATGATATTGTCCCAAAGTCGCGTAAAATGAATTTCTATCCATTGTCATTAATCGAGAATAATACAACGCGCCTGATCGATTACGCCATTAAGAAAAAAAGATTCATGTATTGTGTAATATTATATATATAAAGCAGAATGTGTATACAAGAAACTCTAGTAAAAATTACTTCCTATTTTATACAATGCGTAATTGTGTCGTTTTCTACTTTATACGTAGAATTGTTATAAGAGATATATGAATTATAACTATTGTTATAGAATATCAATATGTATAACAGGAAGAAGAAAAAAAAACACTAAATATACTTATTGTCAATACATGAAGTTTTTGCGAAAATATTTAAACTTAATATTTATATATATACACACGTGTATATATATATAATCTTGAAAAACATGTTATATAAAATAATACAAATCTCGTGAGCCTCTTCTCATAAAATAGATGCATTTCGATAATATTTTCAGTCGGTGCACACATGCATTATTTTGATTTAGTATTATATCAAGTTTTACATTCATCATGTATATCAAATATTTATATACCGTTTTTTTCTTTTATATATATATATATGTGTCTATATGATAATACGGTTTCAAATTATAATTTAATGTTATTTCTATCAGGAGAATGCTATTTACAAGTGTGTCGTATAATTATACATGAATTAAAATCAATTTAAGTTTCCATTCGAGATGTATTCTGTTTCTCTTTTGCTTTCTCTCTCTGCATTTTACTTATTTTCATTTATCTTATAAAATAACGTCGAATATAGAGATCCTAAAGTGTGAATATTCGCCAACAATACTAAGCGGAGAGTATCTGTAAAGCGTGCATTGGGCGATGATGTATCGATATCCCTCCAAGCTATATTAGCGCCTTCGCTCCGCGTAAATAACGCAGGAGACGGTACGTTCTCGCGCATGTACGCCCATAGGCATTCCCTCATTATCGTATTTATCTGCAATGCAAATTGGAATCGTTTATCAAGTATATCTTACTGAAATAACCCCCCC